GAAGTCAATGACAATTTAAGAACAGTCCAAAAGATTGAAAATGAACAATACAATTGCGCTGTCCAAACCAAAATCCTGTAACATGATCTGAAGAGAATCAAAGATTGCACAAATGTCTATGTTATTAGTCAAGTGCGGATGCAAACAAGTTGAAATTGCCTTCATTAATCCGTAAATAACGACAAAAACGAGAAGTATTATATATATAGTTGATAACTTGCAAACATATCATGTGCATTGTGTCGAGTTATGGACTTGCGCAGACCAGGGTCCCCGGATGCAGTGGCGACCTCCACTCTTCTGTTCAGTGTGTCTGTATGCTCACCAATTTACACCACGACGCACCACGACAGGCCTGCCGGATCTGTCCCAGCAGCAAAAATAGAAAACAACAGACACAATGTAGACGACGGAACCCAGCCCTCCTTCCCCTCTATTATAAATGTTGTTGGTGCACCTGTGAAAACCTGAAGCTCCCACACATCTTCAGAGCCTGACCTCCCACTTCCCTCCATCTGCTGTGCGCTGTAATGGTGGAAACTATCAGCGCATGCCCAAAAAGACTTCCCGAATCGATCATTGGACTGGTTCTTCTCTTTCTATATGCCAAATCAGTGTGTGGTGGTGTGTGTGGTGTGTGTGTGTGTGTGTGTGTGTGTGTTGTGACATCGTTGTGGTTGTGTGTTGGTGTGTGGTGTGTGGTGTGTGTGTGTGTGTGTGTGTGTGTGTGTGTGTGTGTGTGTGGTGGTTGTGTGTGTGTGTGGTGTGTGTGTGTGTTTGTTTGTTGATCCACATCCAAGTTATGAAAAAATAACAGAGAGACAGTCAAATCATCACAGTCCAACACTTCAGAAAATAAATGAAACAATTAATTAATTAATAACAATAATTACAGAGGCCCTATTCTGGTTTTGGGGGTTCCTTTTTCCTGTAGTGTGTAATATGAGCTTGTAGCTTGGTAGATGGTCCCTGCAACGCCAAAACCCTCCAAAGGGAGTTCCTCCAAAACACCCCCCCCCCCCCGCCCTGAAACGCCTTGATTGGACTCCTTTGTGTACTTCCCAACATAGTGACATCACTGGCAGGCTTTTACTGGCTAGCGCTCCAACACATTGCATTGTGACACTAGGGGCGGGACATCTCTAAGCGGTTGACCAATCAAAGCAGAGCAGCCAGCTAAGCCAATCAGAGCAGACTAGGCTCTGGTTTCAAGACGGAGGTTTGAAAGATGGGGGGTGCTGCAGCACAGACAGTATGAAAAAATAAAGACCTTTTGAACATTAAAGCATCGGAACATATCACAGTAGAGCAAACATACAGAAACCTGAAAATGAGCTTGATATCTCCTCTTTAAACAGAGAAATCTTGACTTACCCTAGATACAAAGACGGGCAGATTGCGCATTCAGCATCACTCAGTTACACCGACTCACTGCTTCGTACGATGAACTAAATATGAGCTTGTTCAAAAGACTTGATATGGTGTTGTATACGCCAGCTAGATAATACTGTGAGACTCTGTCTAAGTGTGCATTAAGGAGTGCAAGTCATGCATATATCCTACAATAGCTGACTAACGCACTCTGCTGACATTTTGCAACGACTGAGACCAAGCACACTTCATAGTCATTGCATCCTATACCTCATAGTCGTAGATATGTTTCATGGTGGTAGACTCAGACAGCCCTATGACAAGTGTGTGATAAGCACTCAGGACTGTTGGTGGACACTATGCTGATGTGTATGTGGAGTCTGTGTGATAGTGCTGAATGAGAATACCTCTGAAACTCTTAGTGCAACGCCGCGGGTCATCGGGAACATAAGGCCGGTCTGAGCTGAAACGTAGTAGTATTGATCTCTTTAGTAAGTGTGTCTTCAACATCCGTTATGAGATATAAAAGCCCAGAGTGAAACTGCTGGTGAACTGGGCGTGCAGAGTAGGCCATACTAGAATGCTGCCAGTTGAGCCGCAGCTAGATGGACTCCTATAGAAAGACCAGATCTTCAATCTGTGGTTTGTGGCCATGCGATTATCAGAGGTTCAGCCATTGCTTCTCTCAGGCTTTTATCTCCCATGGGCTTGCTATTGCAGTGGGAGAAAATAATTAAATCAGTGCTATTATCCTAGTATGCCAGTAATAAAAACCCTTTAAGGCACAACCAGTGGTCCCAACTTTTTCACAGAGCCCACCCACACACACACAGGGGGGGGGGGGGGGGGGGGCGCAACAGCGGTAATTAAAGTTTCAAAGTCTCAAAATGCTACAACTACTGTCACAAACTAGATGAATGTGAAGTATTTTGTTAAAGGAGGATGAAAGCATAATTAAGGAGCACTATTGGAGTGACTTTGATGGTTATTGGACTCAGGATTCATTCATTTGGATTCCCGCTGTATGAAGAAATTAAAGGACGGCGCGGAAGTGGAAACAATTCACAAAGGGATTAAACTGTTTAAAACACATGCTCAAAGTTAGCCGGATTTTGCCGATGTGTTTATGTGGATTCAAAAGTCGTAAATAATCTACAAAATGGAGGAGACCGATCTGATCGGAGCAACTGTGACAAATAATCCAACTGAAACCGGTATGGACAAAAAATAAAAATGCGCTTAACCAGAAAAGCCTGGTTTGGACACTTTACGGGCAGAAGAAACATTTCTATTAAAGAAAGAATTATACATTTCTGTCTTTTTATGCCTTTAATAGCTACTAACTTGAATTTGTATTAAAACTAATTAATCAATTTTTGTTTTGTTTTATTGTAATGTAGAGACAAGGCTTTTAGTGACAATCATGTATTGCTTTACAATTATATGTAAAAAAAAAAAAAAAAGTAAAAAAAAAAGTACCAAAAAAAAAGTCTAAATATGATATTTGGCCTCAAATCATCCGAGGCCTGGCGCCCCCCCTGCGATCTTTGGGAACCCCCAGGTTGGCAACCACTGTCCTAGTGGATGTCTGAAGCTTGAAGCAGTTGCTAAAAAAGTGTCTTAATGAGACGATTACAAGTCATCAAGCTGATTATTAGCCACCTTTAGCTCAGCAGCGATGAGTTGAAGTCATAGTTAGCTTTTTACTTCAAGTGTTTTTATTTACAGCGGTGGTTAATGTGTGGAGATTATCCTGCTGAACAAAATGTGTAAGTATCATAAATGTTTGTTTGCATCAAAGCATATTTTCTGCATAGTCCAAAATCAAAGTGGAGAAATCCCACTGGCTTGTATTGAGGGAGAATATCCGTGTCAGCCTGCAAATATGCATCGTCGCTGGATAACTATCATTTCCTTTACTATTATAATATTGATTTTCTCAATGTCATGAAATATTACTGTAAAAAAAAAGCAATGAAATGTGTGACTTTGAGAATTGCTGCTTTTTACTTCAGAATTGTTTTAAACCTATTAAGAATTCATAAAGAGAGTTTATTCAAGCTCTCTATTTTTGCAATCTGTGCGAGGACGTTTGTGACATCATCACAGTACTCCAAATTGAAATAACTGAATGCTAAAAGATATTATAAAAATGAAGATCAAAGATAACAACCCATCATTGATGTCTTCAGCACAGGATGGGTTATTTGAATACATCTCCCAAGACAGGTCTTAAAATAAAATAAACAGCCGTGTCATGAGTGCTTTTATTTTTAAACTAGTTTTGAAGCTGTTATTAATATAATAGTATATATGCTTTTAATTGATTCCTTCCCAAATCTCGCTGAAATGTATTTATATTTTCTATTAATCTATTTATATCAATGTCAAATCACGGCAGCCAAGCCGACATAACATTTCCTGTTGAGACATTTTGTAGCATTCACCAGCGTAAAGAGACAGTGTCAGCGCTGCTCATGTGTTATCTGTCCCACATGGGCCGTGTGCCTTTAAAATATTCAGCAGAGCCCCATCTGCTACAGTACCAATCTCCATCTCACAGATACTGCTGGCTCCGTGTGCTGGCGGAGCGATTCGGTTTCTCAGTCCAAGCGAGTGGTCAGCGTTCGGTGCTGTTGTTTGTTATGGTTCCATTAAAATCAGCTCGAGCTGCTACTCCATCCGCAGCATAATGACCAGGTGCTCTAGAGAAGAGTTCATGCTTGACACAGTGTACTGCTGTAATGCTAGATTATGCATGCATTTCAGGGACTATGCTGGATTCAAGATCAATTATGTACAGTGAGGGATTTCTCACGTTATATTTACAGCCAAAGCTTAACAATAGAAATAAGTACATTAACATATTTTACAATAGCCTAAATCATTTCTGTAACTGTGACTTCACAAGCTATGCTTCAAATTAGTCATTCAATTATACAGAAGAGGTTATGCTTAATTCGAGTCAATAAAGTATGTTTTTTTTTACTTTGGGAAAATAAAACATGAACATTAACTTGATTTGTCACATTATATTTGTCCAAAATCCACAAGCTTAACAACATAATAACCACAAAATGTTCCCTGATATTTTCTAACAGCATTAATGTTTGACTCTCTACAAGCTAGAAGCTTCAAAGTAGTCATTCAGCTAAAACATAAGAGCCTTGATGGGATGCATGCTGTGTCGGCTAATGAGAGGAACAGAGGGGACTCACTGGAAGGCGAAGGTGCTGCCATAAAGCTTCTTGGCAGTGCGGAAACGAGCCTCCTTGGCCGGGGGGCTGCTGAGCAGCAGGAACTGGTGGGAGGTGTGCATGAATTTCAGTTGCTAGCACAATGAGGTCATAAGGGAATGTGAGAGAGAGCAAGAGAGACAAAAAGAGAGTGAGTATGAAGCACTTAACGACAGAACGTAGGAGTAATAAGAAACTGATTTGATAAAGGGCATTCGAGGGGAAGCCATTCTTGTTTCCTACCCTACTCAGAGGCAGCTTGACAATATGAGACCGGTTACTGGAAATAATCCTGCAAAAACACACAGAGAATATCATAAGCCTTTTTCAAAACAGATGTGTTTACCTAGGAATAGGAAAAACACAAGTGTTCATAATAATATTATAAATGGCTTTGTTCTGTGCATGTGTCATAGTAAGAAGTGGCAGTGTGCAAATGAGCCAACGTTCACAATATCAGGAGTCTAAAACCAGCCAAAGGAAATTCATCATTATTTATGAAGGAGCCGTGATTGAAATCAGTAAGAGTTTTTGTAGCGTTGATTACTAAGGTGGTTATGGTATGTTTGTGACATTTTCATGTATATAGTTTGATCCTGATGTTTCGGGATGGTCGAATGGACAGCACTTATAGATATTATCAGTATATATACACGAGGTCAGCTGTGAAAAAGAGGGTCAGTGGGTTGCTGTGTCATTAGTTTGTTTTGCTCAAATGTATAACTGTGCTTTTGTAAAATGTCAAAATGTCTCCATACTAAGGCAGATTGCTATAAGCCCATACGCTTATGTGTTGTCCATGATCTCTTATCTAATATAGTAAGTTTGACATGCTTTCTTCTGGTGTGAAGAGCTTTTCCTGTCCATCTGAACACAGTAAACACTGTTTTGAGCAGATCATCTCTACTCACCACTGTAGCAGGGGATGTGCCAAGGGGTCCAGTTTGTCCATCTGTTTCTTGATCTCTAGATATGAGCCCTGGGGAAGGAAAGCATACAAGCATGTGTTGTTTGCAGATATTAGGATGTTGTTTTCCAAAAGCCAAATGAGGAGTTGTTCAGACACAGTCCTATGATGTGATTTATACAAAGTATGGATGCAGCCAAGCCACAGTGGGAGTGGGCACACAAGTAATATAAGGAAAGGAGAGGAAACAGTTGAAGAGGTAAACTAATCCTGTGTAATGGACATTGTCAAACATTGGGTAGACATACAGTAGATTGATGATCTTATATAAACTAAATATATATCTTTACGTCTATCTTATACATTAAGACTAACTATGTCCTATCCACTGTGGCCCTTCACTTCTTTCCCTCCCATCTTCTCCTTGTACCTGTGTCATTTCACGAATGGACATGACGCTGTCCAATGCTTTCTGCAGTCTCTCATAATTCTTCTTCTGTGTTCATCGGTTGAGCCAAACATCCATTGTATGCAATGACAGAGGGAACAACATACAGACATCTAAAATCACTTGTAGACACAAAAGTTTGACAAAATATTGAAACTATTTCTTAATTCTTCATATCAGTTTGTGAGAAAGACAAAACTAATTGCACTTTACTTCAAAGATACAACTAATGTTAAGCATAGATGTGACATACCTACATGCATTAAGTTTGTAAACAACTACATATATATATTCTAGTTTTGCTCTGACAGCAGTAGTGGTATTGAATATTGGTATAAAATGTGTTTATAGTTTAGTAATCATGACCCTAGAAGTGGGGATGCTGACCTTTGGGTTGAAGGCAAGAGTCTTGGGGTCATTGGGGTCAACGACTGATGGGTACGGCTCGAAGATGATACTCTTACGAGGGGATTCAAGTGCAGCTCGACACATCGCCACAAGAAGGTCCACCACCTGCAGGCAGAGGGATTTTATAATTACATTTGATTCCTTTATTGGATGTTGTTATTTACTTATTTAAATGCTTTTATTGACAGTGCAATACCACAGAAATATCTGCCTCAGTTTCAATAAAACGTATAAACTACAAATAATTTTTTTTTCTTGTAACATATAAAGTCATTCTTTGATCTTAATTCCAAAAGAGTATTTAGGAGGGTTACAAAAATACAAATTAATAGAATTATGTCATATACTATCGTGTTGTCATCACCTCTGCTCCAGTACTAATACATGATCATATATTATTATAGGTTAAGCTACCCAGCAGCAAATGAAGTAGTTCAAATAAACCCCACCTTTAAGAGCTACAGTGAAGTGATGAACACATTAATGCTTCAATAATTAGAATACTAGAATGTGTTATGTATGAGTCTTAAATAGAGCCATACTGCATAATGACTACTTTTTGCAAGATATGCTTTTGTAACTCGATCCAAAATTCAAAGTAGATTTGGGGGGAAATAAAAACAAACTATTGCAGGAAAAAATTACAAATAATATGTTTATAATGATATCATATACTATCGGTTGTGTGGTCGTCACCTCTGCTCCTGTTGCCACCTCCTCTGCTGCTCCGGACATCACACCCAGAGTGTAGAAGGAGAACACACACAGCTCCCTGGTGCACACAGCCGGCTATACAAACACACAAAGCCATGCACACAGACAAAGAAAGATCAAAATACACGCTTTTCAATGTGTACTAGATATCATATAAAAGCACATGCACACAGACACTCCCTCTCTCTCTTCATCTTGCTCCTTCACAACTACCATAGCGGAAAATCCATTAACAGGATCATGGTACTAATAGAGAGAGAGTACATCACACACATGCTATTCATAACATTGGATGTATGAACCAATATGGAATGGTTTATAAATCCATACTGTAAGTCCATTTCTTGTCGCTCATAATGGGCGGTTCTGGTAACGCTGTGCTTGGAACCCCCTGTGGACCCCCTCCAAAAGAATAAATCTATGATGATGCTATTTGTGATAGTGTTTGCAGCCAGTACTGTGCTGCATTGTGGGCATAAGATAACAGGAATGGGTATTTTTTCAGTAATGTAATTAAATACATCGAAAATAAGTTACTCAAACAAATTCTGTTACTTAGACAAATACCAAAAAATATTAAGAAATAAAATAAAAACAACGTTTGGCTGCATCAATTATTTATGTATTGCCCCAAACAGCATTTAGATTAATGTGTTAAAAAAAAATGGTAACGTCATTGCCACAAATTCTGTTTTTAAAACAAAATAAAAATAATGTTTTTTGACTTTAACACTGAACTGAAGAAAGTTTAAATCTTGAACACTGTCTTTGTCTCCCTTGTCCAGCATCAAATGCTCCCCTCTCATTCACACAACATTGGTCTAGAACCGCCATTGTGGCTCATACCTTCAGCATGGATCCATTCTGAAAGACGTGCTGCTCGTCACACACCACGCAGTACTCGTTGAGCGTGGGGATCCTCTGCTCTGAGTACTTCATTATCTGTTGGGAGAAAAAGCAGAGTGGGGCTCTCAGTTATCATTTCTACCTCCAGCGCAGTAAGAGAATAAAGATTAATTAAGCAGCAGAAATGTCACAAAACTACCATTCAGTTCAGCGGCTTCGACCAGTGGGGGAGTGTAACTAAGTGCATTTACTTAAGTTCTGTACTTAAGTAACAAATGGAGGTGCTTCTACATGACTTGAGTATTTTTACATTATGCTACGTTGTACTTTAACCTAACTTTATTTTGAAGGCACATGTTGTACTTTTTACTCCACTGAATACATTTTAGATTATTACTACAAAGCACAGAAATCTGATATATTATTAAAGGTTAAGATACCCAGCAGTATACAAACATTTTCAAATAAACCCCACCTTTACCTAAGTTCAAAGTGGGAGTGATGAACACATGAGTGCAATCATAGTTATAAAACATTAATTATTATTGTAGTAATTGTAATAAGGTAACGTTAGCTCAATTTTAATTGCAGGACTTTTAATTATAACTTAGTCATTTTAAACTTAAGTATTGCTACTTGTATATCATTCTGAAATGGAGCATTTTGAATACTTTTACGTATATTTAAGTATATTTTGATGCTTATACTTTAACATAGGTTACATTTTGAATGCAGGACTTTTACTTGTAACTAAGTATTTGTTCACTGCAGTGTTGCTACACATATAATTCAGGAATGCACAAAATAAGTAATTGCAGTTTTTGTACTTATACTTATAGTATATTGATTGTTGCTAATACTGTTGTACTTTTACTTGAGTTGTATTCTGAATGCAAGACTTTAACTGAGTATTTTTACACTGTAGTATTGCTACTTTTACTTTAGAGTTGAGTGCTTCTTCCACCTCTGGCTACGACTGGTTAAACCTATGATATGGTCCCACTGTTGCACAACAACACACTTTAGCCCCCCCCCCCCCCCC